TGGAACATAGTCGTTTGCCGCCCCCAATGCGGGCTGGGCAAATGTCCGGCTATGATGGAAGATCCTTTTAACTCGACCCTTTGGAGGCGATGGAACAAACGCCGCTGGCCTTGACTCTCTAGGTCACCTGCGCTATACACGAACGACCCTGTTTGTTTAGAATATAACCTTTCAATGACATGTCTCATCCATTTGAATGGCCATGTGGGAGCTCAAATGCTGACAGCAACTGCCCGAACTTCTTTGAGACAGTTTTTGTGTTGCTTTTTTCTTTCCGAGAAGAGTTCACACCTCCGCACCCCTTCACAGCGCTGTTTCCTTGCTTATCCATACCCGACTCCGGGGACTCAAAGCGACAAATGCAACGCTGCGGCGAACTGGAGCCCTTCCCCGGTGAAAACCTGCCGCTGCGGATCCCTTTTTCTGCGGCTCTTGTGCACCTGTGGATTCCGAACCCAGCCAGGTCCTCTTGTGGAAATAACCAGTGGAAAGCTGGGTTGGCTGGGTCCCCTGTGAAGAAAAAAACGCAGGCCGCTTCCCATGTATGTCTCTTTTGGGGAACCCCCAAAACGGTGGTCTTCCCTTGCGCTTTCTTTAAAACCACAAAAAATGCCGCAAGACAGACCCATTTGGGTCTCCCCACGTGGTGGAAGAGGATGGTGGCCCAGCGCCGCCAAGTGGGCTGGCAAGCTGGGGCCTGGTCAGCCCCAAGTCTAGAGAAGTGATCCGCTTCAACCAGTTCCATTTCCCTGGTTTTGTAGGGGGTGTGAGGGGACCACCCGGAAAACAAAACATGGCAACATGGATCGAAGAGTGACCTATAGCGGCGAAACGACTGGGATCAACGTTGCGGATCCGCTTTTTTCGAACGGACGCTGTTCATGAAGGGTACACAGAAAAATTGGTTCAGAGTCTGGTTCTCTGGTCTACCCAAACCTGGAACCCTCCTGTGCGTGGTTTGGACGGTGGTGCGGTTAGGGGGGGGGGGCGGGGGGGGGCGGGTAGCTGATTTGTTGTTTACCCAAATATGTTTCATCTACAAAGCCCGTGGCTTCAAATCCCCAAAACCAGCAATCCCGAATAGGCCTCCTTACAGCTTGCAAGGCCAACCTCATCCATCCCCACATATTCTTCTTGCAAAGGATTGGTTGGTGGGCTAAACAAGGCCCCAGATGAAGGGCCGACATAAAAACAAAACATATCCACAAAAGGGCCGCTCGAGCACACAGCTCCTGTGCATCCTGCTGTGTCTAACTCCTTGCCGCTGCTAGCATGGCAGATGAGCCAATACCGCAAAACCAGTAAAGAGGCAGTTGCGCTGTGTCCAGGTTTGAATCCGACTCGATCCCTCAAGCATGAATCGCACGCTGGCCCCACAAGGGCCAGGTGTGAGAAGTTCTCGCCCTTCGGGAACTACCTGGAACCGCGCTTGGGCTTTTTAAAAAGCAGGTGGGAGTTTTGGCCTGCCAGGGAGTGGCCTTTGATGAGGTGCTCACAAGCCCTCTTGGGGGTGTGTTTCCCTTTTGGGGAGGTTCCCCTTGTGGCCTCTCAAGCCAAAGGCCGCGACAGACCGAGGTCCCGGGCCAGAAGATTGTAGGTGATGTCCAGAAACATGTAACCCAGCACCTCGATGGAGCCGATGGAAAAACTGCAAGTCCGAAACTCTTTGGACAGCGTCAAAAACCCCAAACCTTGCTGGCGCAAGGAACCACACCAAGTAGAAGCGCCCTGAAAAAGTTGAGCTACACCCCTCAAAATCGGGGGGGAGGAGGGGTGCAGCTTGTCCAAAGGGCCCGAAAAGGGCAGGCACGGACCAGGGCCTGCCAAAAAAAAACAACATACGGATGCCACCCACCAGAAGGGCATCCAAACGCCCAGCCAAATCTTGGGGCCCCGTGCGCTCCATGAGAGTGCGGAGTTACTCGCCCGCGAAGGCCGGGCCAAAGAAACCCCTGCCGCACAGCAGGGAGGGGCTGAGAGGGGGTCGAGTGGGGTTGACTCCACCCACCTTCGTCTGGCGGGGGCCCCGATTGCTTTTGGGATTCAGGCACACTTAAGAACCCTCGAGAAATCGGGCGGTCCATGCGAGGGTTCCTTCGTACTTCTGGGGTCGGCTTTTTCTTCACAGCGGTCAACAGGAATTCAAACGGGCATCCTTTGTTTTCATTGAAACAAGCTGCTTTTTCATGTAAAAATAGGGATTGACATCATACCCTTAAGCATACCCTTGAGGGAAAACCCCCTGTTTTTCCAACACAACGCAGTTCGTTGATTTGCAACGGGTTCGTTGATTTGCAAACAACGCCATGAGAGAAATGACCGAATTGGGGCGCCTCCCTGGTGCGTGTGGGTATTCAGTGAACGTCAACTGGGCCAAAAACAAATCATACACTCGTCAGTGGTCTATCCCTATCCCAGCCGGATTTCCAGCATCGAGCCGGTCCGCCCGAGGAACCGGCTTAGAACGGCCTGTAAGCAGCACCAGCGGTGGAATCGCCAGGAGGTTAAAGCCTCGCGTGGGTTTGAGAGCACCGTTCAAAGGGGAGGTTCAGAGGGAACCAGAAGAAAGCCACCCATTTTCGGGGTCTAGTGCCGCCATTCACTTGCCGCTCGGCCGAGATGAAAGAGGCCAACACACAGTCCGCAGTTCCGGCATTCCATGTTGCATTTGCTGTACATCAATGGCTGTGTATCACTGGCCGTGTCAGGCGCCATGAAAATTGGCCAGTTTATATATACCGTATGTTGCTCGTTGAAGATAGAGTTATATGCAACAGTTTGACCCCTTTGGGCCGACATGCCTGTGAACAGCGGGCCAGGTCACTGATTCTTGTTGAAATTGACTGGGAAGACAACCCAGCAACCTCCAAACCACCAACCCAAACAACCAAGCAAACCAAGCAGGGGGAAGCTGACGGGAGTTTCAAAGGGACCTCCCGGTTGACGCTAAAGTTGGGTTGCAGCAGCCAATTACAATCCCCACATTTAGAAACAGAGAAACAGACCACAACAGAAGAGAACAACACAACCAACCAAGCAACGAACCTGCCAGCAAACCAACCGACCAACCAACCAACCAACCGATCAGGCAAATCAACAGACAAACAAGCAACCACACCAATAGCAAACAACCAACCAACCAAACAAAGAAAACTGACACTTAGCATGATGGCTCACCCAATGTCCCGGGTGCCAAAGTTGTGGTTGGCCACTTGTGGCACCAACCGTAGGACCTACGAATTCACGGTTGGTCAAACCGGATTGTCTCAAAATGAGGGAATCCCAAAAACTGCGTTTGGTACCCCTCAAAACCCAGGTGAAAACGATACCCTCAAACAAACACACTCGCTAATTAATGGGCATGTAAGGCTGAATGAACCTACCAAAAAGCCCGAATCAACTGAATTGGACATTTGGCTATGGTGGAAAATTATGGGAACCGTTCGCGACGGCAACGGTATCAGAAAGCTCATCTGTGTCATGGTCAAAACTCTGGCGATGGCTCCTGGCCCTGAGAAGAGATTTCTTTCTTCCGGCGCTCACGTCAGTCTCTCCATTGAAAGCATCCTGCAGATTGACAGACATGGACCCCCCAAAAGCTTCATGTGAGTATCTTCTTAGGGTACGCCTATCTGAGTGGGAGGGAAATCTGAGAATGTTTCGGCCCGCTTTGACACATGGTCAGAGAAACTTGCTTGAAGCTTTGAGACCCGGGCTGTCATGGATCTTGCGGATCGCCTTCTCGTCCATCGGTCCGGGTCGAGCGGATCCGGATTGAAATCGTGCCGCCCACAGACTGTTGGGCGGTGAGGATTTTGGCCGTCCCTAGAAGGAAATCCTAGGTCACAGTAAGAACAAAGGGAAATCGGTGTTCCCTATATCACCCGTTTTAAAAATCAAGTCACTTCAAATTGGCCCCCAATTGGAAAGTTTGGGAACCACCAAAGTGGAAATCTTGGGGAACCCCAAGATGTGCTGGTTCACATAAGTCTTGCCGTCCATGCTATTTCGGAAGCCGCGCTTCAAATTAGCTTGAGCCGTCCGTGGCGGGACCAAGGAGAGAAAGCAAACGTCACCTGCGCCGCACCCTTCCTCTTTGAGATTGGTACTCCGTGGGAGGTGCCGACATGTTCTGCGTATAACCTCCCATGCCAATCTGCCACTTTGAAACAGGTTTCATGTCGTCCAAGATGAAAAACAACAGCAACTTCATCCAACCCGCCATCATGTGCTGTTCTCTTCTTTGCCTTTTCATGTTTTGTCATTTTGGGGGGTGGGTGGGGGGGAGTTAGAAGGGCAGACCTCAATTCCTGCTCAAAGCCCGCTGCCAGCCCCACTCAGCTTGGCCCGACCCATCCCTGCATCTCAAAAGACACGCGCAAGGCATGTTCGGTTTGAACCCACTGTTGCTTGGAGGGAGCCAAGCACACGCCTCTTTGAACATGACAATCGTGTTTGCTCGGAAACTATCTCGAAGCGCTTCGATGGAAGACCCTTGAGGACCATTCAGTTCTTATGTGCCGATCTCAGGGTGCCTGCGCCTCTTTTAAAGATCACCACAGGGAAACTGGCTTAACAATGCCCAGGTGATGCTTAAAACACTGGAAAGGAAAATATAAGGCCCTCCGTGAAAATTCCCTACGGCGGACAAAAAGTAACTTGTTCCCAAAAAAAGAATGGGAAATGGGGTTGTTCTCCTTGCTTTTGTGGAGATTTGGGTTGTCCCCCCCAAGCCCTCAAACCAAAGTTGACAAATCATCGTCGCTGGATGGATGGAGCAAACGGCCGCTCACTTTTGTCAGTGACTCAACTCTCGATCAACGTTCAAGCCTGGTATTAAATCGCTTCTACCATCAATTCGGTAAAGGGCAAAGATATGGCCATGGGTCAAAAGCCCGTACCCCCAGTGAACATCCCAATCCCCACTAAAATAGACTTAAATGGGTGGTGCACCTACCCAAAAATGTATCTCATTGGTTTTGACCCACAGCCATATGAGATCAGATGGTACCAGGCACGCACCCGCGGCTCACCGTTTCTTTCTCCGTCCCCGAGTCGCTGGGGCTGCTGTCCCCCGACGCCAGCTCTCGCCCCGAGGCTGGCCGAGAGGTGTCTGAAGCATCCGCCGCGGCCTCGGCCTCCAGCAGGGCGGAGAGGTCCGCCTGCGGATGGTCATCGCGGCCATGGAGCCCTGGATTAAACCAAAACTGGAAGACCTGCTCTGGTCATATGTCCTCCAAGTCTAGCAACTTCATTCAGGTAGTAAGATATACTCAAACTGGTTTTCCAGGGGGTATAAAGGGACGCCAAAACTTCAAACCAAGATGGCCCAACTTTAACCTTTTGGGAAAAAGCGCACAGTTTCCGAGAAAAGCTAAAGACTAAAGATTCAGATCCAGACGAGAGTCAGAAGGTTGGCCACCCGGGCTATGACCCATTTACAACAGGCTTGCCTCCTCTCAGCGGGACTCAGTGACTTAGTGGGCTGTGCCCTGAGTGAGCCACCAAGTTGGCCTGAACGCTCAAGTGAGTCCTCTTCCCATCTCACTTGAGCTCGTTGACCGAGCCCAGAACCGGGATGAGGTGGCCGTAAGTTTCGGCAGAGACCACCCCGCTGAGGGTTCTAACAAGCCTCACTTCCAATGGAGTGAAGTTGCCACCACAATGGTTCGCCACTAAAGTCCAACTCGGGTAGTGAGCATGTTTCCGGAACATCGGCTTTGTCTTGAAGAGACCTCCCTGTATCCTAGATACGTGGGAGGAGCGCGGATTTCACTAACGGTTCTTTGTCCAATCTTTAAAGAAGGAACGAGTGCTCGAAGGTCCTAGGTCACGGACCAACATCATCCCCAAAAAAAAAAGGTGTGGGAAGAAATGGGTAGCTGGAGTAGTAAATTAGGGAAGCCACACATTGGGCTCGCCGCCAGAGGCAATCAAACATGAGTAAACATGCCAAATGCTTGCCTACTTTAGTCCATTATGCTATTCAAAGCCTCCAAGCCGCTTCCCCGGAATCCCGCGACAAGGGATGGCAACCACTCCGCCCTCCGACACGCGGCGTGCGCCGTCAATATGAATCTACCCGCAATCTCGCGGGCCCAAAAGAAGTGAGGCTCTTACCTCAAAAGTCATGACTAGCTTCTCCAGCAACTTGCTGACGCGCCTTCTCGAAGCTCGACCCATCATTCGTGCGCGCGAAAGAGCCTTCACTTTAAAGCACCCTTCCATCTACAGGGCTGATTCATCCGACATCAACTCCAGCCGGCAGGCGTGACAGTGTGACCTTTGCAAACTTCAAGCTTCACATATGAGACCGGTGGATTTCCACTCAATGTTTGGATGGTGCGGAATTGGACCGGCCACCTCCGAACGTCGGTTTCGGCGTTTCGGCGTTTTGGCCTTGGCCGCACCCGTGGCCCTCAGCCAGAGCGCGACGTTCCGAAGGCTCGAGTCAGGGGTTGTACCCTCACATAACCTTGATTGCCCTCGCTTCTTTTCTCCAGGTTGGGACTGTTTACCCCTTGACTAGTTCGGTACACCCGTTTTTTTTCCGGGATCTAAATGAAAGTATTCTACATTTCAAGGTGCACTACATATGAGAACAATTTGTGGCGGGAGCTGGGGTAGTCTTGGAAGCTTGCTGGTTCTCAGTAGAGAATGAGGGAATGCCCCCTAAACACGCCTTGCGGTGAAATCTCCGAGCTTCTCATGACATGTGAGTGTGTCTTTGTTTGAGGCTCGGTACCCGTTTTGGCTTGGCCTTAAGGAAAGCCAAAAGGAACCCGTTGCCATTGGGGTCTAAATCCCTCTTTTTTTCTTCGTCCAACCCCCTTCTTTAGGTTGGTCTAAAGGAACCCAAGAGGACTCCCACCGATTTGGGGAGTTCCCTTGTGTGTCATGCTTTGGGGTTGTAACTACGGGGTGAAGAGGCTCTAACTGCCGGATATGTTGCTATGTAAAAACGGAAGGACAGCCCTGCCCCAAAAGATGTAGTAAGCATCATGGGTCTTCAGGTTCGATGTTAATCTGGTGCAAGCAAACCTTTGCACAAAGTTCGCCAGTGAGTCCCTTGCAGAATGGTGGCCAGGACTTGGTATTGTTACAGAGGTGGTTCAGCTCTGGGGTGTGTTTCCGGAAAACCAGCTTTTGCTAGCTGAATTTACCTCCCTGTATAAAGGCCCAAGACGTCGAAGCTTACCCAGTGCTTCCCTACCAGTTGTTTGAACACTGCAAATCCCTGAACAACAGGTCAATCACGAACAACCTACAAACACACCCAGCAAAGTAGAGGAACTCTTGCATATGAAGTCCCAGCAGAAACCTGTTTCAGGGGTACTCTTGAATGGAAGCCGGAGCTGAAAAGATTTGGAAGATGCCACTTCAAAACGAGGTGGAGCTCTGGGAACGGGGATGCCATTGACGGTGAGCTGTGTGGCTCCACGTTTGTCACTAAAGGGGAAACCTGGCGGGAGAAAGACACCTCTTGGGGGGCAAGCCCCCGATGAATCCAGAGCAGCCAAATGAGTCACATGTTGCTTCCTTAGTGAAGCCGAAAACCTGCATGCTTAATGAAGATAGGAAGGAAAGCCACAGTTCCAGGCTTGCATAGTTCCCATTCTGCTTACTAGGGAACGCACTGAACCACGACACATATGATGCCATCGTTCAATTTCAGGGTGAAAGAGCGAGCAACCCTCTTGCATTCAGACAGACAACTCGCAGGGTGCCAGAAAATCCCGGGATCAACCGTTGAGCCTCCCTGTGCTTCGCCAGGGCACGTGTCTGGCTGGAAGCTTCCAAGCGCCAGCGAAGGGAACGGCAGGGCGGACGCCGCGCGGTCCCGGAACTCCGGCGACAGCACGGACGGCAAAGTCCTCAAGTGGCAAACTCGACCTTGATGTCGTTGGGGGTACGTGGCTTTCAAAGCCAAAGGGGAACCACCACATTGAGGGTTCCCCCACAACAAAAAGCACCCCATGAGTTTGCCTCCGTCGGAGCAAAAATACCCCCAAAAGAATATCTGCAACCCACTTGGCCTACTTCGTTCTAGGGGCACTCACCAATTCAGGACTCGGTTGCCCAGTGACCAAAAAGAACAAAGGTGCTCACCTCCTCTAAAGACTCCAAATGTGGACCAAAAAAGTGGAAACAAATCTTGGATGCTGTTGACCCCCCTGCAAAAAGTTCTCAACTTTTTTGGGGTTTAGTGGAAAACACCTTTACTTCCCAAAATGTCAAAGTCTAAAGATCCAACCCAATAGCAGTCAAGAAATGAAACGACCCAAAAGTCAAATCCGCTCGATTCGCTGCCGTCCTCTCCGGAGTGTTGGGCCAGGACGCAGCCCTCGACCCAAACCTCGGTCTCAGATCGGACGGAGGGGAACGGCTCGGGGGCGAGGGGGTCTTCTTGTTGGGAGGTGCAAGCATGCAAATCAGCTAGTAAACACAAGTTTCGTTTCTTGAACCACCTTTTGGCTGTTTTCTGTTGGAGAACCAAAGAACACGGTGTTCTATTGGAAAACAAAAGGAGAACCACCAACTTTGAAGGAAACCATATTGAAAAAAGCCCCCATGTGGAGGTGGTCGTACCTTTTGAGGGCGATCTCCCTTTCAAACTATGAGTCGAGCTTCAGGATGTCACTGGCGGTTGCCCGGAAACTTGAAAAGCCAAGCAAGAAGAAACCGGGTATGTTGCCTTTTGTGGACCTGCCTAAACTGGGAACCCGCCAAACAAGCGCATCAAAACCTGCTCTAGCTCCACATACCATCCACTCGAAATGAAAAGGAAACTCCATCAAATTCCGTTGGTGAGCCATGAATGAAGCCCAACAAAAAGAGGCTGACTGACTCCTTCCAGCAATTTCATCAAAAACAAATCTTCAGCAAGAGAATCAACCGTCCAAATCCGCAAGAGAATTTGCGTGATCTTCACTCTGGCTTCTCCGTGGGACCAGCAAGTCTGGAAATCCTTCCCGGCAGTGAACAATTAAAAAGCCAACTGCCTTCCGGAATCTCTCAAAACTCCATTCCGGCAACGGCCTCTTCGCTGCCTTCCCTTGAAAAATGTAATTTCTACTCACGCAGACGTCCCGGTCGGCTGGGCCGCCGGCCGCGCCGGCGGTGTAAAGGTCCGGGCCCCTGCGCGGACCAACGGGTTTTGACTCGACGAGAAACGCTGAACCTCTTCACGACGCCAAAACGTACCTGCCACTTGGGGGGAAGGACCTCCAAAGGTACTCAGCGGCCATACTTGCCCCCACATCTCAGAAGCCAACCCCGATCTAACCCAAACGGGAGACCGTGCTTTACATGCACCGCATTTGTTCACCAGACATGTCTGGGTGCTTCAGCGTTGACAGATTGCAAACAAAACCAAAAGGACCCGTTGGCCAATTTTGTACCCTTGTTCTTGTGGATATGGACTTTCACAGGGCCAACGGCTTCTGGACTTTCACAGGATTCACAGGGCTCCGATGACCTTGCGCTTGGACATCACCCCCAACAGAAAACTCAACCAAAACTGGCAAACAGGAGGCATCTAAACTTGCTGAACACTTTGTGGCGCGCTGATCCTTGCGAAAAAGTTCAACTTTTGGTGGGAGATGTCATATTACACCTTGCAACGCATGTCCTAAAATGCTACAAGTGGCCGGTTTCCCCGAGAAAAGTTGACTATAGGAACCCAACAAGGCCCAGCGATGATGGGCAAGGACTCCACCCGCGGTGCGGGTGCTGCACTCGCCTGCTGGCATCGCTGCCGTCGCTCCCAGCTCCGGACTGGGTCGCAGGCTGTTGCGATTCAGGCCGCTTTTGCCCTAAAAACAAGACTTGTTTGATTCTGGTGCAGATTTTGTGAACCTCAAAATGTGAGCTCAAAAGCGACCCCAGTCAAAGGGATGCTTTCCCCCAACCGGGGTATGCCTGCAAAATATGCGTACAAGTAGGCCCATGACTACGTCTTCACTTCACAGGCGACGCTCCAAGCAACCCTTCTTCGGGTCGGGCACCTCTGAAATCCCTTGCTGATCAGGGTTAGGAGGCCCCCCCCTTTTGGAAGACAAGCTTTGGAAGGAAACCCAGCGGAAGCCAAACAAATGGCGCTGGGCGCCCAGCACTTGGTCTTCCGGCGTGTTCTTCTCGGGAGTGCCTCGAAGCGAGGCTCCGGAGAGGGGAGGAAAGCAGCCCCGAACGAAGCGAAACGAAACGGGTAAGCACTAAGAAACAAAGAAAGACGGGAAGATCGACGAAAGCAGGAATAAAGAAAGCAAGAAACAAAGAAAGAAAGAAGGAAGGAAGGAAAGAAAGAAAGAAAGAAAGCAAGACAGAAATGCAAAGGAAGCAAAGCAAAGCAAAGCAAAGCAAAGCAAAGCAAAGCAAAGCAAAGCAAAGCAAGCAAAGCAAGCAAGCACAAGATAACAAACAAATGAGTAGACAGATGCTAGCTTTCGCCCAAAAGGGTTCTTCCGCGATGTTTAGCACCCTCCTGCAGTCTCTAGAACTGTACTGCAAGGCGCTAAACAAATCCGAATAGGTTATTTGTATAAACATGACTACAGTTTGTTCTCAAAACGCCAAACCCAAGCATCCCAATTGGTTTGGCCCTGTTAGCAAACAGCCTGGATGCTCTTTGCTGGTTTCCTTCTGCTTTTCCAGTACTGTTTCAACATCCTACATAAAGGGGAGTTGGTCTTCCGCAAGTGATTCATCTTGTACTTGGTTGGAGAATCGCCCCCTGTTTCTCCCCAAAGGCAAGAGAGATCACATCCCTGAACCAAGGGAAATGATATCACAAACCAACTAAACGGTGTATGTCAGATTATGGTCTTTATATAATAAACCATTCACTGCCAAAAGTATGTGACTTGAGTGGTTAACATGTTCGATTCGGAAATAATAGTTCGTGAGCTTGGAATGATTTATGTCTTTGCTGCAAGGAGATCCCAGCTTTTTCGCGTTCCGCCGCATGATTGTGCCTTCCCATCACCCCTTCCGACTTCCAAACCAACCCTCGACCCACCCACCCCCCGGGCCAGAGGGGGTGCGCGGCAAGGGCGTCTGCGGCGCCGTCGGCGTTGGGGTCTCGGGTGTCAGCGGCCGCCTGCAGCGGATTTTCACCACACAAACGCGCTGGGTGCGAAACATGGGGGGGGACTCAAAATGGGCATGCTTCTTTTTTAAGGGACAGCTTCGGTTGTCCTTCTCGGTTTCCCATCAAGCCACAAAAGATACGGGTACCCTCATCAAAAGCTTCGTTGGCGGTCGGATGGATCAATAATCACATGCGGATATTAAATTTGATAACGTACTCCAGTCTTTCTTAAAATCGTGCGTAACTTGCGGTGTTTCAGGCGAAGACACTGCCATCATTCTCTAGTTTACCCTTCAGCCAAAAGAAAACAACCCAAACCCACTTGGTGGTTGAGAAGCAGCGAAGTGCACGACCCCAAAATCAGTTCACCCTCGAAAAGTCACCTAGCTCCATTGAAAACCAACAAGAGAGGAATAACACATATTCTTAAACAAATGGAAAGGGTGAAGCAGGGTCTTACCACCGACCCCGCATTGAAAGGTTTGGACATGGAATCGCTCGTGGGTCCAACCCGTTTGGCCAAAGGAAGATCTTGAATCCATCCGAACGGAACTGACCGAAGGCTGTTGCAGCGTTCCCGACAAAACGCTCTCCCAGCAAGCGCGCACTCTGACTTGAGCCTTGATCAAAAACTGGGCTGCCCTCAGATCCCCTGCTAAAAGTTTAACTTTTAGTGGGTTAAATGGAAGCCACCACTAAACAGTACAAGGCTAAAAAGCTAAGGGGATGGCAGAGAGCCGCACTGCCCGAAGTTCAACCCGAGGCCGGCGCTGCGTCTCCGGCCGCTCGGGCGGCTCGGGCTGAGCCTGCCAGGGACTCCCGGAATTCCGTTGGAAAGAAAACCATAGAGGGGTTGCCCCAAAAAAGAGAGCGTCCCCACGTGGAACGCCAGAGTTCCAAAGTCCTCATTCCGAACGCGTGCGTCGATGTCGATGGCAAACACAGAACTGCAAGCCTTCTTTGGGGTTGACCATTTTTAGCCGAGAACGCACCAACGGGATTTAGCGGTGCCACTGAACGGGGCAGCTCCCAGTTGACCGATTCGACTGTGAAAGAAGAGCAAGGAAGGTCAAACAATCCTCCTTGGGTGATCATCTCTATTGGAACGGCCTTTGGAGCAATTCCTTCCCCCACTTTGTTTAGGTTTATGTTTTTCTCCCGAAAACCCGGTTTCACGTGGAAGGTACTTCAGGGATTGACATCAAGCCCTACAAGGTGGGAAAATTGTAGGGCAGTCCATCCAGATTGAAGCACTCGGAGCCGCCAGGCGCAAATACGCCACTGCGTGCAAGCAAACCAGCCGAGCTTTGCCTTTTGACCCCCCTTCTTCACTTGGGGCGTTCCCTTGACTGGCTTGGCGGGGGGAGGCCTTTTCTGTCGTGGGAAAACGAAGAGGCCCCTCTTTGCTTTTATACGCAGGACGTCCCTTATGCTGTTTGGGACTTGCTTCCTTTTCTGGAGAGCCTCCGCCCCTGGTCAAATGCCGGTTGCCCAGTGACACTGGTAGAAAACACAACCCTTTTCTTGAGCTGACCCGTTTTGGGCGGGGAAGTCACCATGCAACAGGGCTTCACTTGGGACCCCTTGTTTCACGTAAAATTCCCGTAGTTCCCCCTCTTTCCTGCTCCACGGAGGGCAAAAGGCCAAGGCCTTGGCCTTTTCTTGGCCGCGCCAGTGCTCTGCACAGGGCGCGGCCGAAGCGCTCCTTCAGAAGGTCTCCGACGCTTCCGTCGACTCAAATTCTCCAACGATTTCAAAAGGGCGGCAAGCCAGGCTTCACTTTGAACGCCGCTGGACCACTGCACGGCCGAATCAAAAGGCAACGGCGTCTTTGCGCCATCCTTTCACCATGTCGGGCCATACCTGCTGACCGGGCCAGACGGATTCCAGCGGGTTGCGAAAAGTCTTCAGTGGAAAGGGAAAATGAAGTACCACCGCAAAAGGCAGCAAGCGTGGTTTCAGTAAGCCTTGCGATGGACACAAGCCAAAAGTCCAAAAGGAAGATGGATTCAATTCTCTGTCTGCAATCCAAGTTGAATCACTCAAAACTGAATTAGTCATGGCCAAAAAGATAAACATCTGTGTAATTGCTTTAGCACCTTGCTTGCCCAACATCCGGGGTAGACAGAACATAGTATTTTCTGACACTTCGATGTTGTCTACCCTGAAATATAAGGCAGTTTTGGAGGAGACCTCGGTAGACAAAAGTCGCCATGGAAAAGAGGCCACCCTTTATGATACCTTGAGTAAAGCGAAACCCCTCAACAAAAAACACAAGGAGAAAGTCTGCCTTTGCGTTGGGTGGGAAGGGACCCAGCGCCTGGTCACAGGTATTCAGCCTAGGAGGACACGAGGCCGCCCTCAGCTGCGAAGCTCAGAAAGGAGGGAGCCAGGAACCCCTGCTCGTCGAGGGCGAGCTGGATCACCGCCCCTGCGTCAAAATCCAGGGGCAAAGGGGATCCAATCAATTTACAGGGGCGAGGTAGATGGCACACTTCCCATTTGTGGGCAAGTGAAGGGGAAAGCTAAACTGAAATTGGGGAATGCTGCTACGGTCATCTACTTTCACTTTTAAATCATGATAACAGATATGATATAACCTAGTTACTAATGGGGTTGAAAATCCAACGAAATGCTGAGAGGCGAGGTGGCTACCAACCGAGAGTGTGACCAACATTGGATAAACTTGATCACGCGGATCTTCGGTCAAGTTAAGAAGTGGTTTAACCACCTTGGATATAACCCTGCACTGACAACACGGCTAACTCCACTGAACGGGAACCAACTTACCTGGCTGGGACAGCACTAAAAGGGACACCACTACCAGCGGCATAAAGATCTAGGCAATTGTTGATACTTGCAAAACCAGAAGCAAGGAATCTCCCAGTATGGGACCTTCATGACTACAGCGCTTCAGCCCTAAGAAAGAAATGGGTGTGTCTTTTAGTAGGGGACCCCACACATGGTGTTGGTCCTTTTGGTGTTCCTTTCAAAACGTCAACAAGGGTGCCCTCAAGAAAAGACACACCCAAATACCCTAACAAACCGGTTCCAAAAGGCACCCTAATTGTCAAACATACGGGGTAGGTAGCTTGCCAATTCAACCAGAGTGTGCCCAGGATTCAGGATGAGTTTTGAACATCCCAGCTTTGTTCGCCGCCGAATCCCAGCCGGGGGAATCCTTCCAAAGCAAAGCTTGCAACACAAATCACCCAAAGCAACGCTTTGTTTGATTACTAGAGCTGAGCAAAAGCCAGCCCTTGCAAGAGAAAACCATCCCCTCACCACAAAGAATACCACAAACAAAACGAAAGGTCCTCTCAGCCACCAAGATGAGGGGTCTCCACAAAAAGGAGGAGATGCCCAACGGCTCTCAATCCAATACATCCCACTCTTTGAAGGAAACCTCGGTGCCACTCCCAAACCAGGGTGGACCCCAGCGGGCTTTCTTGTTTTTTGCGCCAAAACCAAGGTAGGCTTCACTCCGGGGATGCCTGGGGGCAACCAAGAAGTGGAATCCGGATGTCCTCGCCGGTCTTCTCTTTCGAATAGGGGAACCCACAAACCAGGGCTCCCAAGATGTTCCATTCAAGCATCACCCATGAAGCTCACCCAAGGTCAATTGTTGAAATGGGCTGAAAAGGGAAGGACAAATATTTCTAGGGGTTGATTCCCCAATCTGTTCAACCCTCGTTCTTTTCAAAAACCATCAGTTTTCCCTGGGTTTCCGGAGGTTTTCTGGAAAGAAGGATCCCTGCAAAGCATGAGGAAGGTACCCCTAGAATATTTCAGGGCGGCAGACGCCGGCCGTTTCTTGGGCCCCGCCTCGGTTCTGCGCGTGGCCCAAGTAGTTGGGCGCCGAGAACACGGTGATGCAATCCGGGTGCGTCCACTCGTAGCCTGCGACCTTCACCTCAAAGGGCAAGTTGGCTCGATGGCGAGGGAATGAGTTGAACCATCGCGGATAAGGTCATTCCCAAACCGAAGGAGCCCCAACAGGAGTCCCCCAAAAGTAGATTTCTCAGTGTTTGATATGAGGGCTCTTGGCAGTGAACCCGAAAGAAAATCCCCAAAAGGATCACAAGGGATGGTTCAGTTCGGGGTCCTTCCCTGAGGCCCAACCTGGTTCAACATGCAAAGGTTGGCGTCTGTTCTAGGGGTAACTTCCCCATTTCCAGGGATCCGAATCTTTCTAGAGAACCATCAAAAACCCCGGGGAACTGGTTGGTTCTTGAAAAGAGCGATGGCTCAAAAGAAGGGAAAAGGTATCAACCCCTAGATCTGTCCCTTTTTTCAACCCAAGTTTCGCGGTCCTCGCCATGTTTGTTCGAACCCCCGTCGCCTCATGGGACCGGATCATGAGGCGCAAGCCGTTCCGCCGGAGAAAGGCCGAGGTCACGTCCGGCCCGAAGATGTAGCACCCTTTGCCTAGGAGGTGCAACCAAATTCAAAGGGAAGACGTGCTAAAGGTCACCCGTTTTGAGGCTCTTGCACCCGTTCTTGGGGTCGGTCTTCCACTTTGTGGCTCCAAAAAAAAAACACACACAACAAAGCAGATGATCCCGTTAAAAATTTGGAGGAGTGGTTTGGGGGCGGTGGGAATTATTCCATTCAGCCCAATTGGTGGCTTGGATGGACGCTGCCTTGGAGCTGCTCAGCTTCGGGCATAGACCCCATGGACCCCTCGCCTTCAGATGGGGAAAAACGGGAAACCTCTTACATGTTCACACGGTTTTGGAGGCCACAGGCTTGAGTGTGACCGGAAAGTTGCGAAACACCGCCAACTTGTGATACCAATGTCTGGCTGTCAAGGTTGGGGGGTGCGACCCAACCCGAGGGGCGATTTCAGCGACGAATGTGCACGTTGCTTGGTAGGATTGCTGGTGAGTGCCACTTTTGGGCTGACAACCATAGAGTGGACTGTCCTTGTGACGCTCGCCTTTGCTATCACAGCTCCATACCCCGTTCCCCCCTGCGCTCTTAGAAATTACAAAGCAAACTACATCTTTGCTGATCAGGAGCCGTTGTACGCGGTGTTGAAAAAAGCAAATTACATACATTTGCTGATTGAAATTGGGAAATGAAGGACACCCGAGAAGGAAAAAAACGGACCCCGGACAGAACAACACGCAAGCCATTTGCCACCAGTGGCGAACCCGGTAGGAGGGCCCGTAGCCCGTCTTGCCCCTGGGGTCCGCCCAAAGCAGATCCACAATCAGCCGCTGCACCTCGGATGGATCCAACAAGGGGACAGCTTCGCAACCCGTGAGGGAACCTTCCAGTTTGGTTCTAGAGGGAAACCAAAAGGAAAACCTAAATCCGTTTCGGGGAGTCCCCTGATTTTTGGACAGGGGTGACCCACATGAAATGGTGGTGCTGCCTTGGTGTACCGATAAAGCCCCAACCTGCTTTCTTGCTGGTTTGATAGGTTGAGGGGTTGAGAATGAACCAATGGATCCTCGAGGAAAACTATGGGGGAAGAGTTCATAGAGGTCATCGGGTATTGGGAGACTACTGGCCCGCAAACAAAAAGGACACCCACCTTTTTGGCTGGTTAAGTTGGGGAAGTCGACCAAACAACTTAAAATCATCGTGAGCAGCCCTACCTCTCTCCTTTCTCTCCACAAGCCAACCCCTAGGTGTTCTGGAGAATGGCGCCCGTGGGAAAAACATGGTCCAAATGATCAGATGTGAACTTCGGATTCGTCTGGCGGACCGGACGAATTTGTGGCCGGTCCCCCTTTGTTGCAAGGAACATGTCGATTTTGGAGGTTCCTCTAGAAGGGTCCTCCGGACTCCAAAGTCAAACTTCGAACCAAAATGGGTCACCAGTGATATGTTGTTTCTTGCAGCTACCCTTTTTGTGGTTGGTTCCTACTTTAAGGCACGCCTTTGGTTCCGTTTGCCTCCTTTTGCTTCCTTTTGACATTTGACTCCCCTTCAAATCCACACAAAAGGGTCGCCACCCCAAATGAAACTCGAGAAGTGCCAGCCTCCGCCTCCTCCTCCGGCAGCTCCCGCAGCGCTCCCAGCTCCACCGCCGGGTCCGCGCCCCGCGGCAGCGCTGCGATGTCCGCGAGGCTCAGCTCGCAGCGCCGCGGCGGCAGCGACACGTTGTCCGGGTTGTAGCCTCGGGCGTTCAGTTGAGGGCCTCGTCTTTTTTTACGGCCCCCGCCAAAAAAAAAAGAAAAGAGAGGAGAAATTCGATCGTTCTGAGGACCGGCTATATTTATTTCGCTCCTTGTCAGGTGCCTTTCCAGGTATGGTCTGAGTATTGAGGTATGGAGCTTTATGTCGAGCAACATAATTAGGCTTCTGAGGCAGTTGTTTTAGCGCTGTACAGCCTCCGTACCTCCAGAACGCATACTATGAGGGGCGCAATGATTTGAATGGGTTCTGATCAAAAAAAAACAAATTCGAGCCATTCCAGGGGAACCCAGGTCTGTCGTTTTTTTGTGAGACCCCTTTTTGGAGACTTAGCTGCCCTATGTTGGGAGGGTTCTGCTGCGCGGGTTCCAATGCCCTTCTGCTGCCTGGGCGCCCAGCAGCGACAGCTTCTGGCCGCCGCCCCGGCGCCCTGAAGCCGCCTGGGCTGCGTACCCAGTGCCGGCCCCGCCCTCGTCCTGACGTGTCGAACCCGGCGAAGTCACGGGGCGAAACCACATTCGGAATGGGGCCGAAGGGTACGGTGAAACAAACAAAAACTCAGATGGAAGAATCGTGGCCTAATTGTTCGACGCCTTGTGTGAAATGTCGCCAGCCTTGGTTGGTTTGAACTGGCGCCAGCAGTTTACGTGCAATGGAAAAGATGCGCGTTGGGCTCAAAGTCAAACCGATGAGTTATGAAGAAAAAACTGTGGATGCATCTTTGTTTGAGGGTGCCCTGCTTGGGCGCTTCTTGAGAGGCAACCTATTTTAAGGCGCCCACTATGATTACTGGGAGAAACCACAAACCCCAACTGCGAAGTGGATTTTGTCCATCGGTATGAGCCCCGGACAAAAGCGACCAAGAGGAAGGACATGGAAAGATGGGGCCCCCCTTCCCTGGTTTTTGCGTGCATATTGTTTCAGAGCAGCAAGAGGAGTCCTTACACCCGAAGAAGGGACAACCCATGACATGTGAGGAATCAACTCATCATCAACTTCAATTGGCTCATTTGCTTGTTGGTTTGCGGCGATCATTCCCAAGATGTTTCCATCAAACGGGGACTACACCAGCGAAATTGCTCCATTTGACCTATATCCAGATAAACTCCGGAACCGGCCTCATTCAGCCGGCTCCCCCGCCTCTTCGTCACCTTTTAAGTGAAGGGAAGCAAGCCCGGTTGCTGACTTTGAGAACCAGCACAAACAAAGTCATTGGGGTTCACATGTTCTGTCGCTTCCCCTGATATGAAGCACTCAAGGGCCCCCGCTTTCGCGGTCTCTGTCCTTGAAGGGCAGGCGGGGGTCTGGCCCCGGCAGCCCGCCATGAACTACGAAGACCTGCCAGATGTCTCGCACGTGCGTGCGAGAAGTCTTGTGGGCTGGTTTCGGGGACGTGGAGTTGTCGTTGTGGTGGATTCCGCGTTTTGTGCAGCTGTATCCTGCGTGTGTGGTTGTTGTTTTGTGATTGGTATTCAGTTTGTTTGTGGTTGGTTGTCTGTGTGTGTGTGTGTGTGCCCAAACTGCGTGCGAGGTTTTTCTCTGTCCATTTGCCGGGCAAAAAGTGTCTTTCTGCTGGGGAAGGGGGGGGGGGGGCAGGACCACTATGGCAAGTCTCCTACCAACGAAGACACTTGCCATAAGTGGTGACACTGGGACTGATCATCCCAGCGTACCTGCAGATTTGGTGTTTTGCAAGCCGTTGCTTAGCCTGGATGCTGGCTTCCCGTGTTTCGAGCTGTCGCTCAACGGCGGAGCCTCGAACCGATGACACCCCAACCACAAAGGAAACAGGCACCCAACAAGCCAAAATACCTGGAAGCATCTTGGCATCATGACAAAGTTGGATTCTACTCAACCTGCGAGGGGTTACCAAGTGTGTGGTTGGCACTTGGCTTGGGAAGTTTTGCATTTGAAGGAGGAAAGAAAAGAGCAACAAAAACAGCTAGTGAAATCGAAAAACAGCCAACAACAAGGCCACTTTGCGGCTCGGAACAAGCCGGCCCTGTGGGGGTGCGGGGCCAAGACTTCTCGCACGCTACGCGCGCGCGCCTGGTCAGAGAGCACGTGGGCCAGGGGCAGCCACCTGAGAGCAAAGCCCAAGTGAGTCATAGTTCAAACCTCGGCAAAATGGTCTACCCAGAATGTAAAGATGTACAAAGGCGGTGCATGTTCGTCATACACAAGGCGAGAAGTTGTTACCGAACAGTCACAAGAAGTGGGGAAAGGGGCAAAAGGGAGCGGAACGGCGAAGGCCCCATTTGAGTGGATTTACCGGGAAAAGTCTCAACCTGTTCTTCTTCTTACCACTAAAATGGAATCCCCAAAAGCGGGTCGCGTGGTGGTTGTCAAGGAAAGCGGCAATCTGATTTAGAGAAGCTTCAGCTTCACTCTCCAATTGGTGGTTTGGATCGGTGGTTTGGTGGCTAAGGAAACCCCACTTGTCCTCTACAAGAACAAGGGGTCAATTCCAATCCAATCCAAACCACCAAGCAAGGGCTACCAGAATACGCTGCGCCGCCTACTTCATTTGCAGGAACAGATCAGCACAGCCACTATGATGGTCTTCCAAAACGGGGCAACTGCCAGTGGAAAGCGGTTGGGGGTGCGACCCAGGAATTGAGCGGCCCCTGCCGAATGGCCGGACATGTTCCCACCAAAAAAATAACAGAGCACCCGCCAGCAGAGATAACCTCTTAAAAACCCATTTCTTTCTGTCTTTCTTTTATTTTATTTTCTTTCTCTCTTTCTTTCGTTCTTTCTTTCTTTCTTGCTTGCTTGCTTGCTTGCTTGCTTTCTTTCTTTCTTTCTTTCTTTCTTTCTTTCTTTCTTTCTTTCTTTCTTTCTTTCTTTCTTTCTTTCTTTCTTTCTTTCTTTCTTTCTTTCTTTCACATGTTGATTGTGTTTTTCACTCTTGGTTGAATGTTTAACAAGTTGTTTCTTCTTGGCTGGGCTGTTTGTCTTTTTCTTTCCTTCCTTTGTCCTTGCTTGGGGGATCCTTGCAAGAAAGAAAGAAAGACAGAAAGAAAGACGGAAAGACAAACAGAAAGAAACTGAACCAAAATGACAGTTGTTTAAACACAAACAAGTAAAACACACCTACCCCACGTAATTGCAGTCAAGACCAAAACAATAAACAAACAACACAAACGATACAATCAAAGACCCACCCACCCCGCAAACCAAAAATTTTGGAAAACCCGTAAAAACCGCCGCAAGACTCCTCCCTGCATCCCCGCCTGAAGGCCTCAGCAAAGGCGTCGAAGAGCCTTCGCCCCTGCACCCCGTACCTGTCCCGGATCTCCTGGGCGAAGCCGTAGCGGAGGTTCAAATCCGCGGCCTCGTGGTTGCCGCGGTTCAGCATCACCTGGAGCCGGGGCTGTGGCCTTGCTTTGGCTTCTGCAACTTCTTTGCACGTGCCGGCGTTGCCTTGAACGCCGACGCCGAGGAAAGGCTACGAACTGTTGTTCATCGAGTTTCACCGATGATTTTGCCATCAAGGATCATCAAATGAACCACAGGGCCGGGTCTCCCCGTCGAAAATCAGCCCCTCGGCCTCCAGTGAAGCGCATCTTTGCACATGGTTTCCCGGCGCCCTTCAAATTTCGAGATGCATTTCTTTATTTCGGCTTCATGTTGGTGGCAATTGAGCGCCCAAAACCTATTGATTCAGGGGTCGACCAACATGGTTATAAGCATACAAAACAAAACAACAATGACCCTTGCCAGACCCCCCATGAAACCAGATAGGAGAAGAACTAACGCTGCTCAATTTGGTTCTGAGTGCGCTGATTTTGGCTGAAACAAAAACGGTTCCCCAAGGCAGCCACGGTCCAAACAGGTGGGGACCTTTGGCTTCCTTTGGTTCAGGGAAACCATTGGAGCTAGGCCCTGTTGTACCTACAAAAAGAACATTGAAGCGGATCTTCTGCAAACCCGAAGCTGCAAAAAGACGGAGAAGGTCCCTTTACTGTCGACCCCGGATCAATCAACCTGGACTAGCAAGGTGGGCTTCTCGAAAGTGATAGGTTTTCTCTTTACTGCAACACCCGTAAACCACCAAGGCGTATTCAGTCTGGGTCGAACTGACAATTGAAACGTGCAAAACCAACACCTACCAAGAAAACACCAGTTGGAACAAAGCTCAAACTTGTTGTGCCTTGACCAAGATCGTGATGAAACCTGCCAACAACTTGAAGTCTGGCAACTCGACAGGACTCCTCTGGTGAAAGAAAAGGCGAGTAGAAAAGAATGCCAATTTTTTTTGGGGGGGGGGCACAAAAGGGGCCCTGCAAAGCGAACCCCCATCTGAGTCTTGTCCCAACAAGGTGATCCGATGTTTCATATTTGGGTGTGTTTGTTGAGTGTACCCCTATCTTTTGTTGTTTCATTTAAGGCAAAACCAAAAGGACAACCGTTGCGCCTTCTTTCGGGGTCCAAATCCTCAAAAACGGCGCGCCGCCGAAATCCGGAAAAAAAACACCGCGCGTCGCCTGCCGCGGGAAGCGCAGCTTCAGCGCCAGCAGCGTAAAGATCACCTCCAGCGAGTGGTCCCCGCGGTCCACGAAGTCGCCGTTGAAGAGGAAGGGCCGGGCCTCGCGCGTCAGAGACGCAGAGGTGCCGTTCCGGTCAAAGGTGCACGGGTTGTGCATAGACGAGTTTCGGCCACTGGGAACAGCGATAAAGGAAAACAGGATAAGTGGCAGATGAGTTCGCCACGGTTGGGGTTTACGGTGAAAATGGGTTGATTCCAGGTGTGTGTGTGTGTAGATTGAGCCCCACCGAAGCCGTGGCAGTCGCTCGAAGCGAGTCCGAGCCCCAGCGTCCCAGTCCGAGCGCCTCCGAGGGCAGGCCCAAGGCCTCGAAGATGCGCAGCAGGTCGAAGAATTGGCCGTGCAGATCCCCCACGATCACCACCTGAAAAAAAAAGAAAGGAAAAAAAATGGGCCCGAGCGGAACCATCCCTTCGTCCGTCCTGTAGCTTAATTACAGGGGCCCAGGTGAGAAAATACAAATGGCGGGAAAACCAAGGGAAGGCCCTCCAAATGATGAATTCTCCGTTAAAGGGCGGTGGAAATAACCCTCAAGAAGCCATGTTGTCTGCAACTCTCATTATATCTCATTGCAATTCCAACCAAATACCCCTTGCCCAGTGTCGATCCGAACCCGGTCTAACAAGGTTCGAAAGGTCTTTCCTGGGTTGCGCGGGGAAGGAGCAACGTAAGAACGTAACGACGACTCGTCGACCCACGTCGACCACAAAAAGCACCAGGTGAAAAGTGAGGTTTCACAAACTTTGCGGATTAGGTCTATGAATCCTGGGTTGCAATTACACGCCACAGCTGGTCCAAGCCTCATGGGGAAGAAGCGGCCACCTTTAGCTTTGGCATCACGGAAAATAGCACTAAAACCCAATTGTCCACAGCTCACTTCCTCAGTGGACCGGCCCAAAAAAAACAAACTTGTTGCTTGCCACTATAATGGTCCAGACCAAAAAGCGTTAGGGAATGAGACAATCATGGGTCCTACTCTTCCGGGAAGTTCCGCCAACCAACACGTCCATTGGCTATGTCGCGCCATCACACTCAACCAGGGGCCAATTTGGGGTTGTCTCGTTATGATTCTATTTCATTACGATTGAAAAAATAACTATTAAAATCATCAATGGTGATAAACAAAGTTTTATTAGGAATATTTTCATACTTTTTTAACTAATAGTATTATAGTTTTCAAATATTATTAACTAAAATAATGACCAGTTGCATAAGTCAACCTTTGGAATAGCATCAATTAATTTATTACTTTTTTCTTCTTCCAACTTATGTATTTTTCATTCAATGTTTTTACAATAAGAAGGCGCTCACCGAAAAGGCATGCGAATCGCAGATGTTCCTCTGGCAGTCATGACAGGCATGCATCGACACTTCCTGCGCACTCTTACGGCAAACGCAACACCTCATCATTAGGAGCTGGCAGTCCATACACTGACGTTCCGAGCCATCCCCCATGGTATCGCCCATGCATGGCCAGCAGTGTCGGCGTTCACACGTAACACAGTCATAACGGGCGCTTTGGGTCGTCCTTTGCACAAACCTCCTCAGGTCCTCTCCCGGGTCCCGAAGCTGTGGTGCGCGTCGGGTCGGCAACCTGGTCCTGCCCGCCAGAAACCCTCGAGCCACCGTCGTCACCACCTCCATGGGGAGCAGCAGTCCGGTTCCTGTCAGATCGAGTGTCTCTCTGCGAAAGACCAGGCTCTGGTGACCCACTTCCGCTAACGCGGGCTCGATCACCGGGATGGGCCTGCGAAGTTCGTCCGGTTTTCTGTCGGGGGCGTCGACTGCTCTCTGATTCCTACCTCGGTCTGAATCCTGGGGGGTGCTTGAGGGCTCACCGGCCTCTGACGCGACTGTGGAACGTCTCTGACATGCCTAGGGGGAGAGTACGATCAATCGCGCGACAACTCATCATCCCTACTTCGGCTTATGTCCCTGTGAATAGATCTTTCCCTAACGGGAGAAGCGGGGCGCCTGCCCGACCGACCATCATCGCGAACCTGAGCAGTCATACTGGACGTAACCGTCCCCTGAGTCTCCTAAAAGTACTCGACAGATGGGCTATCGACCGCCGGCAACACGACTCCCCTGGCCTTCCCGATCACTGGGGGTAGGCGTCGGAGACCTCACCCTGTGCGATCGCCCGACGAAAACGACAAACCCTGGGTCCTGCGTCCCACGATTGTCGTTCTGCACAACCCCAATGACGGCCTGATCAAGCTCCTGGGTGGTATTGCTGACATCGGTTAACACCTGGATGTTTTGCCTAATAGTGGCCATTCTTCAAATGCACAAATCGACCTGATCTCGATAGTACACAAGCGCTCTCCTAACCACAGCCTGAACGTGCTCGGTACTACCGACAGAACCCCCACCAGGCATGTTCCTAATCTGGCTTCGTATCGCTCTGAGGCCAGCTTCAAATCTTTCACAGTTTGAGTTAAACGTGGATAGCCGGGAGTCGATAACCCGAGCGTGTTCCTCGTGCGCCGTGTGTCGGAGAGCCTTGGCCCTTAGCCTGCCAGCAAACCCTTCAATCTTTCGGTGAAGGGCATTGAACATTTCCTGCCAGTTCCTTGGTGCGACAGTGGCCTGGACAGCTTCAGGTTGGGCAGATCCGGTGGTGTCACCTATTCTTTCAGAAAGACCTAAAGTAAACCACGCTTTTGACAAGGCCTGAGTCACTGAGGGCGAAGAAGCACTGGGTCCTGCCTTCTCTGCCTGATCTGCCCCATCCTTCTTAGCCTGGCGGTGAGGTCGAATAGTAGGACGCTCTCATCAAGGGGGAGTCACCCTTCCCAGCCATTATGATGCTCTAACGCTTTCCCACATCCAAACTGCGATCTCAAACAAAACGTGTACCCAAAGGAGAAACTTGCAAACCAGTTCCCTTTTGTGGTCTGACTCACACAACCAGCACTCACACAACCTCTTTCTCGCTCTCTATCTCTCCTCTATATTTTGAGCGACTGTCAAGACCCTCTTTTGTGTTTCTCATGTCCTGCCTTCACCTCGCTTAGCTTCTTTTCCACCACCGCCGCTTCCTGCGAGGGAAGGGCGGCCCCTAATATCCCTAATATGATGACCGGCGACTGCCGCTTGAAGTTGTGTGATGCAATTTGAATTTTGAGCAATACCCATGTAGATTGTAGCGTACCCGCCAAACAAGAAATCCTGCACCTACAAGCAAGCTTTATCCCGCCAAAACAGCCAAAACACCAAGCATCCCCAGAAACAGCAACGCTTAACTGCGCATCTGAACAGCCGAAGAGAAACAAATAGCAGACTTACACGATGTAGCGCATCCCGCAACAAGCAACCCCCATTCCAAACGCAAGCCTTTTTGCGCCACTACAGCTCCAAAACGCTGCAGATCACGTCTTCAGTGCTGAAAAATACAAGGATGAAAGAACATCGTGCTTTCCCCAAACAAGCTCGCCCCCCACCTGAACGCAAGCTTAGCATGCCTGACACTTCGACAGCCAAACGCCCCAAGCCTGCAAAACACAACGGAACGGCTTGAGCCAACGCGTCAGCGTTAGCAAAGTCCTAGGGCAGGTCCTTATCCGTGACCACAGCAGATTGGGGGCCCCAAACACGAAACCATGCACAATCAGGACATGACACGGAACAATATGGGTTGGAACCCGGGGTTTCTTAGCACAATCGCCCCAATGACATTTCTGATTTCGGGCAAATGCAATGCTCCTCGTCGAGTTCTTCCAACGACATGTCATTCACACCTCAAGGCATGGCACTCTCCAAGGCATGGCACACGTGGAGCTTCACCTAAGGCGCTGACGCTTCTGCCCCAGCGTGTGGCCTTCAGCTCCTTGGCACAAGCTACCAGCTCCTTGTTAGTGCCCTCATTAAGTAGTAGACAAGGGCCACTCCCGCTTCATACTTCGCTACATATATCCCCCCCCAAACTTTAAACATTTCTCAGCCCCGTCTCATGTAATATCAAATCATCACTCCTACCCAGTAAATGATACAATATATGTTCATAGATTGTATTAAAATCCCTCAAGTTTCCTTATGTTTGTTCATTATATGGCTCTGCCTTCTCTAATGCTATGTGCCTTTTACTTTTCTTGTGGTCAGACATTGATTTTTTGAATAAAGAAACTCTACAAACATCGCACCACCATTTATTTTTATCTTCAATTACTTCGCCTGGTTCTAAACTTAAATAATACTGATGCTTGTATGTTGATACACGGTCATCCCATCCGCTTTTAGCTACTTCTGTTCTACAAGCTTCGCACCATACTTTATCTTTCTTCTTTGCGAGTATATCTTCCTTTTCCCTGTCGTAGTATCTCTTACATTTTGCATTCATTTTCTCTGGGTTGTTTTTCTGATACTCTGCACACTTAACCAAGCAAGACTTACATAAATAACTTGTTCCCTTCATCAAATTCATCAACTGTTTTTCCTTTTTACATCTGCCACATCTTTTTATTCCTTCCATACTTATTATTATATATTGTCATTTCTTTAAATGCCTTCCATCCTTCACATCAAAAAAAAGGCGTGGTGCTCCTTAAAGACTTTTCCCCAAATGGTCTAGCGACGCACAGTGCCTAGCCCACAGAGAAGACATAACCCCGCTTTTACACTTATTGCATATAAAATACTCCTTACCACTTTCAACATATGTACTGTCTGGCTTTTCTTCATTTTCAAATTCTTCTGGATGTTCCTTCCTTCTTAATCTGTCTTGATGGTATAATGATTGTTCGTGTTGCTTTTTCTTGCACAGTCTCAATTCATATTCACAGACTTCGCAATAATAATTTCTTATACTTCCTTCACTCTGTCAATTCCAGCCCTTGTACATCTGTGATATTCCCTTTTATCTTCAATACATTCATTACATAATTTTCTAAGTTCAGTGAAATCATCCAAATTCTTTGACTTATTACATCTTGAACAATGTTTCAATACACTTTCCTCCATATACATATAATGCCTACATTCCTTTCAGGTAGTTTTGCGCCCTTCGTTTCATCAGTTTCATCATATATTTTAATAGGCGTGGTGGTGCCTGAACTTCCACAGCAACTGCCCTAAACTTCCACAGCAACTGCCCTAAACTTCCACAGCAACTGCCCTAAACTTCCACAGCAACTGCCCTAAACTTCCACAGCAACTGCCCTAAACTTCCACAGCAACTGCCCTAAACTTCCACAGCAACTGCCCTAAACTTCCACAGCCCTAAACTTCCACAACAACTGCCCTAGACTTCTTTTGGTGGAAGTGTCCAATCTAGCAGTAGGAAATGCTTAAAGTAGTATGGGCGTATGCTCACAACAGCATGGGCACATGCTCCGAAAATCTGGGTCATATGCTCCGAAAATC